CCTATCTTCTGTCCATAGGTCTAATATATATCTGTACCAAATTTCGTCGCAATTAGTCCAGCCTTTTAGGAACGCATAATGTTCAGACAAACAGACAGAAATATAATTTAATATATATTTTGAGTATATTTAGAAATTCAAATAATCGGCATTTGAATAAATAAATTATTAAAGAAAAATTGTGTGCATGCTAAATGCTTGGTGAATCATACTGGATAAATATTATTATCATATACATATAGGTATGTATAAACATTGATTTTATTAATAGTACAGACATTTTCACGGTAATAATAATAATATTATATATGCACCTAACGTCATGAATCATAACTCTTCATGTATACGTTACGTTGTACAGGGTTCATTATACTTACCAAGAACCGTCCTCGATAAACACTTTTGCGTTACATTCATACCGCAACCACACATTTATTAAACGGATGTTGTGCATACAAACATATTTTTTTAACAACCCCATTGTAATCATACGACGTCTATGCCCATCTCGCGTATAATAATAATAATGGTGTGTCTTTTATTCATAAAACATTATATTATAGTTATATATATATGTACCTACATATGATATTGTATTGGCAGACGTCAATTTAACGACTTCACCAGAGCATCACAATATGTAATAATAATCACAATTCATAATGATGCACCTATATGTATATGTATCATAAAACGAAATAAATCGATACAACTCGTATTGTATGAAAATTATAATCACCCGAGCAAATGTATAATGCGTATCCTACCCGATAAACAAGTAAGTTGTGTCCAAATTACGATTTTAACACTAAACATTATATCAGTTTCAAACATGTTCTTATGCAGGTTAAGATATTATAAACCTACTACCTACTTGCATAAAAAAAAAAAAAAGGAAATGCATTTTATAATGCAATGGGTATGTCTAAGATTACAGAGGTGCGTATTATATATAGTTGTAGGTAGGTGATTTCATTGTTTTGAAAAATGTATAAGAAAGACATTTTTCTAATTAAATACAAAATTAATCTTTATATTATTGTAATATATAGAATACATTATAACATAATACAATAATGTTAAACAATAACCGTATTGTGTTGGACCTAAATAAGTAAGTACTTTGATGGTACCTATTTTATTTTCTATTGTTGCAGTACTTTTAGATAATATTTAATTAATTGGAAACATAAAATCATAAAAGTATAATTTTATATTGGTATTCACCTACTAATAAACAGATGTTCAATAACTTATAATTATTTAAGTTTAGGTGCTGTAATAAAAATATATCAAGATAATATTGTGTTATTTAATGAACGATTGATTGTTATTATAAATAATTATAATGTTGGTTCATTAGGTACTCGAAGACATTTTATTGCATTTTATTGAGATTAGGAATGATAAATAATAAATACATACTTCGGTTGACGGTGGAAAATGGACGATCGGAATGCCAATATTTAGTGCTTCATTCCTGTCGCTTCCTGTCATAACTTTCGGAATTCTTGATTAACTCTTGAACCCGGACAAAAACTCTGAGTGGGGAGGGAGAAACGTTTCACCATGCATCAGCTCTATCCACGGTTGGGAATGCCATTGGCCGATCGACTGTGGAAATCCGTCAATCTGCACGTTAGTTAATTTTATATTATTGAACACTAAGAATAATTGAAAAAAAATGATTTTTAATCGCCCAACTATTTTTTATGCATTGCCACATTGGTATACTATATCACCACACCATTTAAATAATCTATTTTTTATTTGTTTATTTTAAAATTATTTTAACGTGACACACTCTTTTATAGACTATTTGTGATAAAATATTTTTATAATTACATATTGTGTGATATTTATTTGGGCATTGAATAGTCTTTATATGTTTTAATAGTAGATACTCCTCTTAGTTAAGTTGATTCTTAGTTGAGAATTATGTTTTTTTTCATAATAGACATGTGCTATGAAAATAAAAACAATTTCTTAATTAATTTTACTCTTTCCTTATTTATAGTTTTCGATGGATTTTCACCAGCTAATGCTTTGCAAATATGATTTCCGAATAAAATACTTATATTAAAATTACGTTAATAGATTATAAATCCATAACATTATAAATGTTTATTGGATTTGTATGTTTTTATCTTATGAATATTTACCTCTTCACTGATATTTTATACTGTGCAATTTTTTTGCTGTAACGCTTATTATTCAATTTAGAATATTAAGGACATTCCCTAAAATGACTAAAACTTTGATTATATTAAGTAGTTTAAAAATKTTAGCGAATTTTAAAATATCAGCATATAAAACTACGCCAAAATATATTAGAATTCTAATTTAAACCAAATAATATGTACTTAGATGAGATTTTTGGTGCACAACTTATTGAAATAAACTTAATACTAAGAGCCATTCCAATTTATTAAATATTTTTACAGAACGTTTAATATTTTATGCTTTGTTGCTGTTTAATTTACAAATGATGTAGAGTATATAGCACGTCCCTTTAAGGTTTATTTCAACAGCACCCTTAATTTAAATTTCGAAGTTTCGTTTATTCCATGTTTGTAACTAACAAACTGAAAATTTAAATTTAAAACCCCTCACCATTGGTTTCTTTATTTTATGGTAAATTAATTCTTTACAAATGACATACAACCGTATATACATTAGCATGAAAAAATTTGAAATTTAAATTTAGAAGACTGGGGAAACAGACCTGCTTCTTGTTAAGCCATGTATTTGATTTATTAAATCATCCAAAAATAATTGATATATTTTCGTTTAACTCACTCTTTAGTTATGCCTAAAGTAAAAATTAGCTTAGTTTATATTCTATTAATAATTAAATTGGTTTCTATATTTATTACATTTTTTTTTTCGTCCACATTTCTTTATTTTTTAATTTTTCATACATATTTAGCTGTTTTTACTGCATAAATGCATACATATTTCTATATTTTTTAATGAATAATTATTCCTAACTCTATGTATGATAATATATCAT